CATATTGTGGGAGGAGAGGCAGCGATTAGGTTAGGAGCCAATTTTTAACAAGGACAACAGGAGAACGTTCTTTGGGATTGGATCCCTGTATATATTTGGGATTGGATCCCTGTATATAAAGTATGAGAGGAAAGATTGAAGGAAACCCTTTTCATAAATGTTTTTTTCTTTACTTTCTCCACCATTTCCACATGCGATGGAAGCCCCAGGGTTAAACGGAGGTGTGAAACTTGCACAGAACCCAACTCAGAATTTCTTGCAAAATACACAATGTATTTCCTTTGATGTAAACCTGGTAGGGTTGTTATTTTGGGGGGGGGGGGGAGGGGGGCTTGTTTAACCCAGGGGTCACCAACCTTTCAGATCTCATTAAATTCATAATTTTAAATCCCGCGGACCTCTGATTTGATTTTCTTTTTTTAAAAAAGAAAGATAAATAGCATTTAGTTCAATATTTTAAAAATGCAAATAATTTTTTCTGCGGGACCACCAACATTTTCTCGCGGACCACCAGTGGTTGGGGACCACGGCCTTAACCCACCGAGCAGAAGAAAGTGGCAAAACGGATCAAAATAGTTGGCGAGACATTCGCTCGCCTCTTAAAGACCTGTAGCTCATCCTCCCAACTTCGCAGTACTCAACGCGCTGCCCACCCAAAGTACTTCAGGCTGCAGCCCGAACGGCTTATCCGCGCCCGGTTTGTTTGTTTGTTTTCCATGGGGAGGTACCGTCGAGGTCTTCTAGCCCACCCCCAGCCCACCCGCTCGGGATAGGATCTCCACGAAAAAAAGCATCTCTGGGAAATCCCCGGGAACAAGCCGGGAATTCCCAAGAAGGGAGCGAGGAAATAGCCCGCCTCAATCCACCCCGTCCCGTTGGGCTATCGAAGGAAACCGTTTCTCCTGCTTACAGAAGCGAGGTGTCCGTGGCGCCTCCCGCCCGTCGTTCATTCCCAAATCTCGGCCGGCGAGCTTGTGCAAGCCGCGGCTTCCTCACCTCTCCGCAGGCAGGAGGAGGAGGAGGAACCGGCTGCAGCCTCCTCTTGCTCAGCCGCCGCTGCAGCGCAGACGTCCAGGCGGGTTGACCTTGCGGAGAGAGAGAGAGAGAGGGAGAGAAGCGAGCGCCTTCCTCGCAGCCCGAAAGGAGGACCCGCCGGCCGGGGAGTGGAGGGTCACCGAGCCGCGAAGCCACGAAGGAGTCGGTCGGAAGCCGCGGCGTGGTTATGGTGCAGGTGCCGCCAAAGGCGGGAAGGACGGCCGGGCGCTCGCTCGCTCGCTAACCTCGCTCGGTCTCCCCGCGTCGGGCTCTTTCCGCTGCCGAGCGGCTCGGACCGGCTGCTGCTTGGCGCCCGGAGAGGTGGAAGAGCTCGCCGGGCGAAAGGGGCCGGCGCGTCAGAGGCACGCCGTGTGGAGAGGTCGGGGAGGAAGCGAAGAGGCGGCGGAGCTGCCCCAGCGCCGCGCCAGAGAGGTGGAGCTGGCGTCGAGCCCGGCCAGCCTTCCCTCCTCGTCGGTAGGGGGGGAGAAACAACTCCGGCTCGGTTCGTCCTTGGGCGCCTTAAAAGTACAGGTAGTCCTCGCCTGGCGGCCACAATCGAACCCCACGTTTCTTCCCAAGTGGCGATTGTGAATGTATTTGGCCCGTGTTAACGACCTTTCTCGCCACGGTTGTTAAGCGGGTCGTTGCGGTTGGTATGTTAGTCAGTGATCCCTGCTTCCTCCTTGACTTTGCTACTTATAAGAAGGGGGGGTGTAACACGGTTGTTAAGTGAGCCCTGCTTCCTTCTTCACTTGTAAGAAGGTGGTGATCCCCGGACACTGCAATGGTCGTAAATATGAGTCAGTTGCCAAGCACGTGAATTTTGATCGCAGGAGCGTTGGGGATTCTGCGATGATGGTTGTAAGTGTGAAACGTTGGTTTTTTTGCCCTAATCTTTTATTTATTTTATGATTTATTTAGTTTGTCACTCACGTGCAAGATAACACGGATAAGAATTAACATGAATAAGAATCTAGAAAATGGGGACAAATAAATGGGGAGAGTGGGACAGGGACGTTAGGCACTTTTTTCAGTGCCGTCGTAACTTTTGGTCACTAAACGAACTGTTGTAAGTAGAGCGCGGCCTGTCGTTTGTTCTGTGGCACCTGCAAGCGGAGAGCAAGGAAAAGGATGCCTCTGCCCACGTGCAGAATTCTCTCACGGACTTTCACTGTAGGTAGTTCAGGGGGCTATTTCCAGAGATTAGATAGGAAACATGTCTGTTATTGGGTGTAAAGTGTGGAAAACGTTGGAGGAAAATAATATTTTTGAGATCACACACACACAGACACACACAGAGTATGCATGCTGACTTTATTGTGCCAATAAAAACCAGGAGGCAGGAAACCCCTCACTCAGAAGGACTCCGGTATATGGGATTTTGAGCACATGGGGGCACTTTGGCAAAATGGCTTCTAGCCATTCATGAAATGGCTGCTGTGGGCAGAGGAGGGGAAGTAGCCAGTGACAAAAACATGGACTTCCCAGAATGCTTCTTATCACCCCTTCTATTCCCTGCCACAACTGCAGCTTAGTTTCTAGCTTCTATGCTTCCAAACTAGGTTACTGCACATTTCCTGATCAAAAAGAAAAAGAAGAAAACAAACAGAAACAAATCTAGCCCACCCTCTCCACCCCCCCAAAAGGAATTTTATGGCATGCTTTGCAGCCTGTTGACTTCACAATTTTTCAGCTAAACTATAGGGCAGTGGAGTTGGAGTTTATTCAATTTGTAGGCCGCCCTATTCCCCGAAGGGACTCAGGGTGGCTGAACAAAGCCAAGGGAGGGGAAATTACAAAAAGTAAGACGAAGACAATCAGACAATACGAACAATTTAAAAGCACAACATACATGCGCAAGGGGCATAGTGTGTGGGGGGGGATTAAATTATGGGGATGGGCACGCAGGCGTATGCTTTTGGCAGCCAAGACGAAAAAGGTTCGCCATCACTTCCATCACGATTACCTCCCACAGACCCATTCGATCCCACAGATTAGGCCTCCTCCGTATTCCATCTGCCAGCCAATGTCGGCTGGTGACTACTCAGAGGAGGGCCTTCTCTGTGGCTGCCCCGGGCCCTTTGGAACGAGCTCCCTGTGGAGATTTGGACCCTCTCCACCCTTCAGGCCTTCCGGATGGCCGTGAAGACCTGGCTGTCCCAGCAAGCCTGGGGTTGAGTCCACCCCCCTACTTGAATTTGCTGTGTCTGCTGTGCTTTTAAA